TTCTGAGATAGTGCCACATCCCACACTCCCTGTATGGCTGATGGTGAAGGTGCAGGGCCAACAGAACATTGCCACAACTCTGCAGGCTGCAGGCCTGTTTCCTCCCTCATTTAATACCCCAGAACCCGAAAACGCCTAGAAGCCACACAGCTGTGGATTCTTCTGCTACTGATAAAGACTTCTTTTAAATGAGTCATTTCCTTCAAAAAAGAGGAAAAACTGTTTTCACATTGTAGCAGAAATATCCACCCCCACCCTCAAATATACATCCTGTCTGACCCTGCTCAAGCCCCCAAACACTATGCCAGGAAGCACCAGTTGCTGGAGGGCCTTGCATCTGGCCTTAGGTTCCTTGTTGATATAGGGACCTGAGGTCACAACTGACCGCAGGGAACCACCTGCCAGAGGCCTGTTCACTTAGTCTGGTGGAACATACATGCCTCCTCAGAAGTTGGCCATCCACCTGGTTGTCCCCCATTTTTCCAGTGGGGCCTTCATTTCTGTCTTGTTCTGTCTGTCCTCCTTCCCTACCAGGCTCTCTCTTCTCTGCCCTTAGCTATCTTGCTCTTTCCCTTATCACCTCTTTTATTCTTCCTTCATTCTTTTTTTTTTTAATTTTTTTTTTTCTTTCAACGTTTATTTATTTTTGGGACAGAGAGAGACAGAGCATGAACGGGGGAGGGGCAGAGAGAGAGGGAGACACAGAATCGGAAACAGGCTCCAGGCTCTGAGCCATCAGCCCAGAGCCTGACACAGGGCTCGAACTCACGGACCGCGAGATCGTGATACATAGGGTTCCATTCTTGATTTCTCTCCTATTCAGGTGGCCCTCTGCTATGAGGGTTGCTTGCTAGCTGCCCAGTAATAAGCTGAACCATCCCTGTGCCCTCCTCTGACCAATCCCAGAGCTTGGGCTGGGTCAAGCTCAGGCTCCTTGGATTTTCCTGCCAACTAGATAATATATTCCTATTTTTTATCAGCTTTATTGAGCATAGTCACATCCAATAAAGTTCAGCGATTTTAAGTACACAGTTCAGTGACTTTTGGCAAATGCATAAATGCATATGATGACTACCAAAATCAAGACATAGAACACTTCCATCACCCCAGAAAGTTTTTTGCCAACAGTCAATCCTCTCCCCTCACTCCTGGCCATTGGCAGTCCTCCATCTGTTTTCTGTCACTAGTTTGGGTATTTTCAAGAATGTCCTACAAATAGCAAAGTAGAATGTGTAGTCTTATGTGTCCTGCCTCTTTTACTTAGGATGATGTTAAGATTATCCATGCCATTGCATGCATTGCTGAGGAACATTACCCTGTGGTTTTACCACAATTTGTTTATTCATTCACCAGTTGATTGGCATTTGGGTTGTTTCCAGTTCAGGGCTAAAATGAAGAAAGCCGCTAAGAACATTCATGTCAAGTCTTTGTATGGACGTATGTTTTCACTTTACTTTGATAACTGCTTGTGAGTAGGGTTGCTGAGTAGTGCATAAGTGTATATTTAACTTTATAACAGACAGCCAACTTGTTTTCCAAAGCAGTGGCGCCATTTTACTTTCCCATCAGCAGTATGTAAGAGTTATAGTTGCTCCACATTCTCACCAACACTTGGTATGGTCAGTCGTTTTCATTTTAGCCACTTTCATAGATGTGTAGTGGTATTTCATGGTAGTTGTAACTCGCATTTTCCTGATAATTACTGGTGTTGAGCATCTTTTCATGTGCTTCTTGGCCACTCAATCTCCTTTTGTGGTATCTTTTACCCATTTTTTATTGGATTGTCGTTTTCTCTGTGGGTTGTAAGAGTTTTCTGATATTTTTTCATCTGCCTTTTCTTCTTTCTTCCTCATTCTATCCCTCTGGCTCTGTTTTTTTCTCCCACTGTGTCCCGGTCCCAGTTTCTGACACCTCCCCCACCCCCAGAACTGTCCACTATCTCCCCTTCTCTCCTCCCTCCTCCTTGGCCTCTTTCCTCCTTGTTCATGGATGTTCTCCCTTCACCTCCAAGACATCTCAAAACCTGAGAATCTGGCCTCACTTCCTCTTCCATATTAGAAAGAACCCACTAAACACAAGCCCACTGATTTCAGTCCTGGCCAGGTTCAGTGTTCCAAATAGGAGGAAGGACCCCCCCCCTCCTCCAAATGAAGACCGAGAGAAGTAAAAAGACATAGCCTAGTGTAATGGAGGGATGGCTTTGCATTCTGACATCTTTCTCTTCCCTAAATGATTAATAGTGTTTATAGATAGAAGGGCTTATTTTACTCAAGCCTAACACTGGAAAGTCATGGGTGTTAAGTGCATCCTGCTTAATCAGTGGTCCAACAGTCTCCACAAACATAAGATTAATTGTTCTCATAACAAGGCTCTCCCTTGGCACAAGTCCCAAGCCCAGCAGGGATTTGTTTTGTCGAGTCACAGGGAAGGAGTAGCCCAGCCCAAAGCTGGCAAACTTTTCTTCTCTCTTCAAGAGAACTGGTGTGACAATATTTGATTGCAAAGCACAAAGCACTTTACACAGTGATAGAGAACACAAGATGGGTGACTGTGGAATTTTTTTTAAGACCTTGCTGAGATATGCCTCACAGGCCATGCAGTTCACTCATTTTAAGGTGTACAGTTCAGGGGCAGCTGGCTGGCTTAGTCAGAAGAGTGTGCAACTCTTGATCTCAGGGTCATGAGTTTGAGCTCCACATTGGGTGTGGAGATTACTTTAAAAAGTATATAATTATGTGGGGTTTTTTTAATATTTTTATTTATTTTTGAGAGGGAGAGAGACAGTGTGCAAGTCGGGGAAGGGCAGAGAGAAAGGGAGACACAAGATCCGAGGCAGGCTCCAGGGTCCGAACTGTCAGCACAGAGCCCAATGCGGGGCCCGAACCCGGGAACCTCAGGATCATGACCGGAGCCAAAGTCGGACATCCAAATGACTGAGCCACCCAGGCGCCCTGGTGTTTTTTTAAATAGATTCACAGGTATGTGCAACCATTACCACAACTTTATATCATTTCCTCACCTCCAAAAGAAATCCTGTACTCTGTGACCAGCACTCCAACCCTTTTCATCCCCAACCCCTAATCTACTTTCTATCTTTACAGATTTGTCTATTCTGGACATTTCACATAGCCGGAATTATATAACACTGTCTTTTGTACCTGGCTCCTTTCATTTGGTGTAATGTTTTCCAGGTTTATGCATGTTCTAGCACGTCTCAATACTTCATTCCTGTTATGGCCGAATAACATGCCACTGTACAGATACACCATGTTTTGTTTGTCCATTCATCAGTCAATGGGCGTTGGGGTTATTTCCACCCTTTGGCTATTATGAATAATGCTGCTCTAAACATTTGTGTACTAGTTCTCACATAGATGTATGTTTTCATTTCTCCTGGGTATGGACTAGGAGTAGACTTACTGCATCATATGCTACTTCTGGTTAATCATTCAAGGAACCAGCAGACTATTTTCCAAAGGAGCTACACCCTATTACCTTCCCACCAGCAACTGCATCAAAGTTTCAGTTTTCTATACTCTCACCAACACTTGTTATCTGGTTGGAATGGTTTTTTGATCCTGCAACTATAGCTTCGAAACGTGAAACATACATGCACAGCACACATATATTTAGACAATCATCACCAGAGAACTACCAAGTCATGCATACTGGCATATACCAGCACATACCTCTAGAGTTCACATATGTATACATAGAACCCCGCATAGACATTTACAATCACAAGCTCATGTACAGTCACAGTGCACATGCCTGTCAGGGCATAGACTCACATGTGGGAATGTCATCAGATGTACAGTAGACCAGTGCTGTCACACATGTGCATACGATTGTCATGGGTTGTGAACAAGCATGCACACAGAACCAGAGACATGTGCACTCAATAACGCATTCACTCTTGCCTGAACACACGTATACAAATGACAGTTGTGCCCACAAAAGCAGAGTCCTAAAAAAGGCACACATATATAGTTATCATCACTTACGGGGGTGGTAACTGAACATAAATTGAGTGTATTTACTCTGGATGACAAGGAGATGATTGAGATTACCTTCGTCCTTGGTGTACTGGGTAGGAAGATGTTTTCATTCATTTATTTGTTCTTTAAGCTACAAGTGTATATTGGGCACATAGAAAACACAGTGATGAACAAGACATAGTCCCTGCCCTCATGGAACTTATAGTCTAGTGGTGGGGCAGTCAACTGTGGTATGTGTCAAGAAGGAAATAAATAAGGTAATATGATAAATAGGCAAGGTGCCAGGATAGTAGTTTCCAAGTATTTTTAGCAGCGTTGCTCACTCTTTCGTCCTGGCGAAGTGAACACTATTCAGATTCACCTTCCATAAGTCACTGGATAAACTTGTGTGTGTGTGTGTGTGTGTGTGTGTGTGTGTGTGTGTGTGTGTATTAATACTAGCATTATTAAGAGTGTGGGCTCAGGACCTAGACTACCCTGGTTTAAAATTTGGTTTCTTTCAAATTGGGTGATCCGCAAATTCTCATCCGCAATTAGGGATGCCCATAGTACCTTTAGTAAGGATTAAATTAGCTGATACTTGTAAAGCACTGAAAAGTGCCTAGCCAGTGTCAAGTTCTCATTAGTAGCCATGATATCATTTTTCTGAGTGTAAGTTTCCATAGAGGGAGCAAGTGCACTGGGAGGTGGGTCGGGAGAGGCTGGGGGAATAGATCAAGGAGCCCAGTAGTGTCCTGTTGACCAGTGACTGGATGAGTCTTCATCTTCTACCATGTTGGAGCAGTCATTGGGAAGACAGCCCTGGCATGACACCCTGGCAGGCCATAAACCAGTCCATCCCCACCTCACTGCCTCCAGCCACAAACCACAGAGAAGATGCATGATGCGTGGCACTGGGCAAGGCTCTTGGTTTCCAGCTACATCGGGCCTTTCTGCAGCAGCTCTGCTGTGGGTCTGGCGTGTAGCATTCACTGGTTCTGCTTGGCTGTCTTTTCTGTGTAGGTCAGCACTTACCATCCCATACCTGGCTCCCCAGGACATTCCGCGACCATCGTCAATCTGTCCAGCTCCCAACAACACCTCTCAGCAAACATGTGAGTAACAAGCTCAGCTCTCCACCCCGGGTCCTGGCCAGAGAGGCCGCTTTTGCCACCCCTCTGCCTTCAAGCATCACCACTCCCAGACCATCCCATACAAAGAGACAACAAATCCCCTTCCTTATATCCTTCAAAGGAAATAATGCTGAAAAACAGATTGGCAAACCACATCATCCTAGCTCATTATTTTACAAAAGTAGAAAGGAACTGGAAGATTAGACACCAAAACATTGCTAGGAGATTGGATACTGAGCAATTTCTGTTGTCTTCTTCTAGATTCAAAATGTTGGGTCATAAATAGATGTTGAAATATAGCATTTTGGTGGAGGGAAACCCTGTAGAAGAGAATACCTTGCCCAGCCCCTTTGATAAAACCTTCCAGTGTCTCATAGTCCTTGGAGCCTAGAAGGACTTCTTGATGTCCAGCCTGAGGCCATACATTGGTAACCTGAATCTGGCAAGCCCACATGGGTTACTTTTAATGCTTTTAGTCAAGCATATATTCTCACTTCCACACCCTCGCTGTGTCTTCACCCCTGGCTCATAACTAGATGTTATCTGCCTGACGCCTGTGTAGACTGCAAACTGGAAAGTCACGACTCTAACCCAAGGACATTTTGCCATGTTACAAATGCATCATCGCCCTCCATCCTGCCATGCAGCCAGGATTCCACTGTCTGCTAACAAACTAAAATCAACTCCTACCTCCCCTCCCCAATGTCTGCTTCCCTGCCTACATTAAGCTAGCTCCTCTGGCCATTCCTGGGAATCAAATGTGCCCCCGCTCTCAGCAGAGGGAACGGATCAGAGTCTTCTGTTCTGACCTCTCCTTTCCCTTCACTTGCTGGCTGCAAACATGTTCTGGGGTGATACATTAAGCAGTATGAAAAAGCATCCTGGGCAGAGCCATAACTTCTAGGTTTGAGACCAGGCTCTGCCACTAATTCTGGGTCACCAACTCCTTTCTCTATCCTAGTCCAGTTTCCCCATTGTCAAAACGCCAAGGTGGCCTAAATTAGTGATCTGAAGCTGTGTGGCACTCTGTGGAAAAGCAGGGATGTTGGCCTGTCCAGTGCTACTTCTATCACTATAGGTTCCATCACTATCACCTGCCTTCCGTACCGACATTTCACCCTGAAGAAGTTAGTTATTTCTAACCACTGGGTCAGTGGTTCCATTTCCCTTCACTCTTTGCTGTCTCCATGCCCTCCTCCAGGCACGTTCCCCTTCTTCACCCAGTTCCCTTGTCTCCCCAGGTTTGTGGCCCTGCACTCCTACTCAGCCCATGGACCCGATGAGCTGGACCTACAGAAGGGAGAAGGCATCAGGGTCCTGGGCAAGTACCCAGACGGCTGGCTCAGGGGCGTCTCCTTGGTCACTGGGCGGGTTGGCACCTTCCCCAACAACTATGTCATCCCCATTTTCAGGTGCGTGCCCTCTATTCTCAGGCAGCGGAGGTCGGGTCCACTAGGCCCGGGGCCATCTGTGGTTTCACTGCTCAAGGACTCAGTGCTCCTTCGGAGCGTAGGCCAAGAAATGGCCTTAGTAACCCCCTAACACTTTTTTTTTAATTGTAGAAAGTTATCTTTTTTAGAGTTCTTCACATTTTACAGCACTTTCACATCTTTTATTTAACTCATTGGATGTGTTCAAGAGTCCCTCCTGTAAGGGAGATGTGATTTTACAGATGAGGAAAGTGATATACAGAGTTAAGCAACCTGCTCAAGAGCTGGGTTTCAGGTTTTCTGTAGTACGAACCCCCAAAATCCCATTCATATCCTGCACCCCAACTCTCCTGTATAGCCGAATAATGGGAGCCTGTGATAATCAGAAGACCCCTCAGAGCACTTCAGGAAACTTCGTAAGACACTAGGCCAGTAGGCAGAGTTTCCATGACTCAGACCACGACCTGTCCATCCACACCCCAGGCCAAAGGCTGGTTACCCTGTAGGTCCCTGTCCCTAACAGCGTTCCCAACTTTTTTCATTCTCCAGCACACCCGACCTTTTCACTTAAACAACCACCACAGATCCCTGCACTGCCCATGGCTCCGCCTTCCTCCATCCCACATCCACCCAGGCACAGCCTGTCACAAGGCAGTGAGGCCATCCCCACACATCAAACACTGTCTCTATGACATAACTCCAAGGAAAGTGATAACCCATTGTACTCTCTGGGGAGGGGGGGGGGTGTCAGAGCTGGAGTCCTATGTCCAGTTTGGGGGAGCTTCATAAAGGTGGGGCACAGTGTCCGGAGGAGGGCCACAAAGATGGTGAGAAGACAGAACACTACACCACAGTAGACAGTCATAGAAACACTTGGGTAAAGCTACAGAAGACAGGGTCAGAGGGACCATAACAAGCCATGGAGACAGGAAATCTGTTCCATGAGGGGAAAGTGAACCAGTGGATACAACTTAGAAGTTGGATCCGTAAAAGTTTGCACTTTCTAACACATAGATTTTTTTCCAATAAGGTTGGCTGGTGAGGTGGTAGGACCCCCTTTCTAGGAAGAGTACAGGCAAAGTCTGGGTTTCCATAGACCCAGGCTTAGATAAAAAGATTTATTCACATGGCAGAAAGTTGAACCGGAAGTTATCTCCTTCAGTGGAAGGTTCTTGGAATTTGTTAGAAAGTTGCAAAATCTCCAAAGGCAAACTAAGGGTGTCTATAGCTGATGCTGTAGGCAACAAATATTTATCAAGCATAAACTATGTGTCAGGCACCTTTTTAGACACAGGAGAAACACCAGTGGACAAAACACACAAAATCTCTGCCCACCAGAAGTTACATTCTAGTGGTACAGACAGATAATAAACAAGGTATATAAGTAATGCAAATGGTGTGTTAATGGTAAAGGCCAAGAAGAAAAACAAGAAAAGGATTGAATTAGTAGAGGTGGTGATTAAAATTTTAATAGGTTGGTCAGGGATGGCCTTACTGAGAAGAAGGAAATGAGGCAGGTGTATTCCAGACCAAGGAACAGCAAGTACAATTGCCCTGAAGTAGGAGTGAGCCTGACATGAAGACCAGTAGGACTGGTTTAGACCAAGTCAGGGGGATGTTAACAGGAAATGAGGTCAGAATGGTAACAGGTGAGCCAGATCATATAGAATTTCCTAGGTCATAATGAGGAATTGGCTTTAACGCTATTGCAAGGTTTTGAGCATAAGAGTGACATGATTTAACTTACATTTTAACCAAAATCCCTGTAGTTGCTGGGTTGAGAGTAAGCTGTAGAAAGGAAATGTGGAAGCAGAGAAACTAATTAAGAAGATACTGTAATACTCTGGGGGATAAGTGATGGTGAATGGAGCCAAGGCATTAGCCAAGGAGGCAGGGAGAGGTGGTTAGATTCTGGATATACTCTGAAGGTAGACACCACAGGATTTTCTGACAAATCAAATATCGGGTGTGAAAGAATAGAGGAGTAAGGTGAGTCCTAGTTTTTTGCCCCAAGTAACTGGAAAATGGAGTTGCCTTTTACTGAGCTAGAGGGGGAAACCAAGAGGAATGGGTTCTGAGATGTGAGGGGAAGCAAAAGCTAAGTTTCCAGCAGATTAAGTCTTAGATGCCTGTTAGCAATCCTGGTAGAGATGTTGGCAAATGGTTGAGTATACAAGCCCAGCATTTAAGGAAGAAGGTCCAGGCTTGAGAACGTATTTAAAACCCTAGGACTAGATAAGACCATTGTGGTAGGATCAATTGCATTAGAGAGAATGACAGTGAGCCAGAAGCCAAATTTTGTGTGTGTGTGTGTGTGTGTGTGTGTGTGTGTGCGCGCGCGCGCGTGTATATAATTTACTGTCAAGTTAGCTAACATACAGTGTATGCAGCACGCTCTTGGCTTCAGGATTAGATTCCCTTGTTCATTGCTTACATATAACACCCAGTTCCCAACAAATGCCCTCCTCAATGCCCATCACCCATTTTCCCCTCCCCCCCACCCCCATCAACCCTCAGTTTGTTCTCTGTATATTTAAGAGTCTCTTATGTTTTGCCTCCCTCTCTGTTTGTAACTATTTTTTTTTCTTCCCTTCCCCCATGGCCAGAGGGTAAAATCTTCATGGAATGAGTGGAGAGAGGTTGAGAGAGGAAATGGTGACAAAGTGATGTGACAGGTGGTCAAGTCTGATACTATGAGTCAAAGCTGGAAAGGATTGAGGAGGGTGGGGGAATGGTCTAGAGGTGCCAATGAAGAGCAAGAAGGATATCTACCCTAACTCAGGAACACTTTCTTCCATGGGATCTGACATCAATTCTGTAAGGCCCATGTCTGCTACTAAAGCATTTGCTTATGCATCACGCCTTAGCCCAGTGTCCTGGTTATTCCATGAAAACACCATTAGAATAAGTGTGACCATATAATTTATCATCCAAACTAGGACACTTTTTTTAATATTTTCTTTATTTTTTAGAGAGAGACAGAGAGAGAGAGAGAGAGAAACAGAGACAGAAGGAGACACAGAATCCGAAGCAGGCTCCAGGCTCTGAGCTGTCAGCACGGAGCCCGACGCGGGGCTTGAACTCATGAACCACGAGATCATGACCTGAGCCAAAGTCGGATGTTTAACTGATTTAACCAACCAGTCACCCCCAGACTAGGACACTTAAAAGAAGGAGAGAGAGACACACACACACACTTTTAATACACCAGGAGAACAGATGTAAACTAAGACTCTCCTAGGAAAATCTGGACAAATGGTTACCCTCACTAGAATGCATGGAGGATTCCATTCCAGTGTATTCCAAGGCTCCAGCTTCCCTTTCTCTCCTTGGCTTTTCTCCTAGGTACATGTATTGTGTCCTTAGGCAAGCCATGAGCCATCTAGACTCACCTGTTCAGAGACAGCCACATCAGACAGTGGATGGAGTTTCAGCCATAGGTTGCCATTGAATCTGTCCCTCCCCTCCAGTTGATAGAATCCTGAACATATGTGTATACTGAGGTGCTACTTACATGGATGTGGGTTTTGCTTCTAGGGAACCAACATTTCCAAAAAGAGGAAATCCCTGTCAGAGTATATTCTCCTGACAGCTGTTAAGTGACAGAGGATTGGTGCTCTCTCTGTGTGAAGTTCTCCTTGATGGTCCTCTGATGCAAAGGAAGGTCCCATCACCAGTAATCTTAGACATGGGTCTGTGATGCCCGATTTATCTACCTGGGAGCAGCTCATCCTTGTTCTTAGCCACCCTCTCCTTTTGCTTCTTGGGGCTGAATGATGTGGTCCTTTGTCAGCTTAGTTTCCACTCCTTTTAGCAGGTTGTGGTAGGACTGAGTGGGTTGGACTACATGTGCAAGGCCCCTTTCTGCTCTTTGGTTCTGCATGTGTGTGAGGTTTTGTTCCCATCTCTGTTTTCTGTTTGCAGCGATGCCTCTCACCACCAGCAGCCCCCTTGGGCTAGAAGGCAGCCTTTTATAAAAGAGCCAGGGCTCGAAGGTATGAGGTCCCCCCTGAGCACTGGAACCTTTGCTTTATTAGCATTATGCCCCAATGAACTGGGCCTGCCAGAGCTTGGGGACTAACTCTATAGAAAGACTAGTGCTGACCCAAATGCCAGGGTTTTAAGATTCAGCAAGTGAGCCTTTTAATTCCCAAGAGAATAAAAGGCAGCTGTGCCCTCCAGAGTGCCAGCCCTCTCTCAATGCTAGATAGTGACACCCACCTGTCCAGCCGAGTTGACCACAAGTAAATCTCTGCCACCGTGACATGCTTTCCCAGGCCCTGGAGGCAGCTACAGGCTCAGACTGTGCAGAACGTTTGTCAAGTTTCCATCTAAATCCCCTCTGACTAGCGTCAACATACTTTTCCTCCTTCAGGCATAGTCTTGGTGGGAGGCACAAGTTTCCTCTCTTTT